GCAAACTCGATGGAAAAATCGAGCTACGATCAGAAAAAACTATAAACTGCAAACTACTAACACCGTCCAAGTCTGTAATCGAGTTATAGTTCTCGATCTTGCGGCAAAAATACATAGTTTATTCACAGCTGTAAACTCTCTACTCGTTACAGCGAGCCGATAATTCGCAGCCATCGTTATCGACGACCATATACGAGTCTTGCTAATGGACTGATGGATGTTCCCGAAAATTTTCATATCTCATGCACCAATTTGAGATGCGCTACGGGTGTGGGAGACTTGTCCCAAGATTCGCATATATCTCTCATACTTTTTACACATGCAAGAATGCTGCTCAATAAGTACTTAATACTGTAAATATAAGTAGATATGTAACAAGTATAATAATATAAGCAAGTAGTTGACACATATATCGCATGAGACAAGAGGGAGTCTCGTAAGCACTACATTACGCTACGAATAAAATAAAATATGAAATAATTCGTTTACTGTATACACTTAATGATGTAATTTTTTTATTATTATCGTTAGCTTCCAATTCGCGGAGAGTTCATTGCGCTTTAAAGTTAGAGTTAAAATGTTAAATATATCTAAGCACAAAATAAATTAGAACAATAAACTTAAATTGTAAAAGAATAATTGTATAGTTGATAAATGTATACATACATGTTCTGTATGTGTTTTGTCGTTGTACTAGATTGCACCACATGTAACAAACAACATTTTAATGTTCCTAAAAAATCTACTTTGTATAAAATAAATTTGAGTTTTTAGTTAACCGTTCAGTATATTCGCGTGACAGGCTACGTTATTCTAAAATATTTGGCATTTTTTTTTCTTACTACTTCAAGTCCAATAGGTATTAACAGATAAGGAAATTGTGTCCGAGCCGAAGCCAAGCTTCCAAGAGAGTTGCAATGAAGTGATGAGGGGTCCTTCAAGTTTCCGGTCGGACAATAATTCAAGCACTGTTCAAATAAATAGTTACCTTCCAATTCCAACAATCTCGATATCACTTCACGTGTAACCATGCATCTTGGACGGACGATCTTTTTGACATGTTATTGTCGTAAAGGGCTTACTTCTCATTGTCTGTTAGCAATGTCTCCACAATGGCTTGATTTGATTCAAAACGATCCTCGGGTACAAATTTCATCCACTTTGTTGTTCACAGTGAATATCACGCCTGCTCTTGCATCCACCTTTACGCACATAATACAGAAAAGAATTTCAATCATCGACATCATAAACGACTCGTCTACCTGTTCCGCCATTTACAACGTCAAAATCTTCGGAACACAAGTAAATGTACATGTGTAGCAAACATTGTCGCTCTACTTTTTTTGGGGAAAACATTGGAAATTTTTACACGCAGATTGGTATTGAGAATGGGGCAAATCATTGAAAGGGGCACGCTTATGTAAACTGCAAACATCTCTGTTCTCGAAATCAGAAATATTTGATTTTTTAATAAAAATGTCAAGGTATCCTCTATGGGTGATCTGATAGTTCTATTATAGGACATCTTTTTTTTTTTTTCATAGAAAGCTTTTGGTAGATGTAAAGATTCGGCCATAGCCAATATAGTAGTCACTTGTATTCAATTATCCATGGATGTGACATATGCATAGTACAGCTTGATGGGATTGGGAGTTTCAAAGTAGTTCTTTTTTCTTTTCCTATTCCAACTAACGAAACAAATAAGAAAATTATGGTGAGGTAAAGGTAGTGAGTGCAAAACATTCGTCCACGGCTTGCTTTTCTTATATAAATTATTTTTTGTTTATTTCCTACTCTATTTTATTCATATGTTATATATGTTACTATAGGTATTGCCTTTTAGGCTTATAGCGGTGTTTTTATAGTTTTCTACGAGCACTTGTCAATTTTCCGCATGACCAGCAAAATAACTTTTGAACGTAAAAGCAATCTAAGACCTTTCAAGTAAATTGAACGAATATGAATTGCGATTTATGACGCCTTCCATATCCCTTCCTGTAAATTGGTGTTGCAGTTCAGTGATGCAATGTGAAATAAAGTCACCCTTAAGGTGTTGTTCGTAAATATAAATGCCATGTAAAACCATTAGAAGACAAAAGACGAGCAGACCAGACTGTCTTGGAACAAAAAGGAGAGTAGTAAGTAAATTATATTCGTTTGTATACGAATTCGCGGCATGCTCTACCTACTCTCATCTTAAGAAGAACTCCAAAAAAAAAAAAATGCAATAAATTTTAATACTCTTGAGTATTCAATGGACTTATACCTCTTTTATGCGGATACTATAGAAATATTCGCATAAACTATTATCGTTGTATCGGTAGTTGCTTTTTAATATGAACAATCACTCAGCGATATGTTCTCTATACGTGTAACACAGTGCCCATCACACATGATTCTCGCTCAATCTACAATTAGGAAGGAGAAGATGATAGGAGAAGAGATATGCGAGCCCAATTGTTAAGTGTTGAGCCCTTACCCCTTAAGCACTCATTCTAATTACAACCAAGTACGATCTAACATAGTAAGACTTGAACCCGGGTACTCAGTTTATTTTGTACGGTATAGTGCTATGACCGATTTCAACCATTTTCAGTACCAAGCTGCTATTTTTTTGCCAAATTTGAAACCGATATCGTAATTTTTGCAATCGGAAAATTAAATACCGCGGACAGACGGACATGACCGGTTTGTTTAAGAGTTTAATTTCGTTTTATAGAATCTCTGCCTAAAAGCTGCCTTGGAGATGTTACAAACAGTTTGATAAACTGATTATGCTTCCATTGTTTTGTGATGGCTACAGAAAAATCTCAAGTATACTTGGGTGTATGTGCACAGAGGCGATTAAGTGAAATTTAATATGCATAATTCAATAAAAAAAAAAAGGATTAAATAAATGTCGCTAGACATTAACTTATTGGCATCGAATTAATTTTCAAAGAATTGTGGCGGAAAGCAATCTTGAAAAAAGTAAAATAAATAAAAATGAATTGAAAAACGTAAATAGAGTGAAATCAATCAAAAAGCTTTTAAATTTATAGAGCAATCTACAAATGTCAATGAGTTTATCACAAATATTTTATAAAAAGAATGAATTAATTAAAAATGTATTGCATCTGGGTGTTTGCTTGCGAACCGCTGATGTACACGCTTTTGAATAATTTTTGTAGCAGAGATTGGATGATGCCAGACGCGCGTTTCTTTCTTCAATTTAGCTTGTAACAAGTAGAATTGAGCAATATAGATGCTTAGTGTGCTCTTGTTCTTCCTTAGACTATTCTTTCCGAAGATAAAACGAAACTTAACAACGAAAAAGCTGAACTGTTTATTCTTGAAGAGGAATCTTAAGCTTATTGTAGCTATCCATTGGGACTCGTCGGGGTCTTTACAGGTTTTACTTGTCTACGGGCATTTTATATATTATATGTGGCTGCACTGTTATCAAACTTAGAATCAGGTATAGAAACAAATCTAAACACAACAGCTTCATACATATTTATGCTGAGTAATACTTACTTTTTCCTATTTAGTGGCAGTCTACGTGTCCTTCTTGAAGCTTGCTGCGAAAAGGCTTCAAATATTGACGCCTATACAAGTTGTCTCCTACTATTAACTAAGAAATAAGGACGAGCCTAATAAATGTAATCTAACGCAGGTGTGCTCCGCGTTTACAATTTACCGAATAAAAGATAGTTTTAAGACCGAAATTTCACAAGTGAAATGCTGAGATACAAAAGGAGGTCGTTGTTGTATCATGTTGTCAAGAATGGCAGAAAGTTTTTTTTAATTTGAAAACGCCAAGCTTGAAAGATGTGGCTGAGCTATGTTGTGACACACACTCTATGCAACAGACCTGGCTTTGTCAGACTACTATTTGCTTGCTTTGATATCACCCACGATTCTCCTCTTGAAATAATTTTTATTCTCAAAAAAAAAAAGAAAAAAAAAGTAAAGTTCTTTTATAACTTCTTGTTGAAACTCAATTGGCTTCTTTTTATGCTCATCACTGAAGGATGACGGGTACATTTATTTTATTAAAAGGTTTGCAATGCTCAAAAGGAAGCTTCAGCGACCCCACAAAGTATATATATATATTTTTGATCAGCCATAAATACTGAATTGATTCAGGCACGTTTATCTCACGGTGGAAGCCAGCTTCGAAAACCCCATAGCAATGTAAATTCTTGACCAGTTTCAAATTCGGAATGCACTTAACCATGCCCGTCTGTTCATCTTGCCCGTTCGTCCGTCTTCGCAACTACAAGTGTGAAAGAAGAGTCTGAGAATTACGCGCACCGAGTAAAGGACACCTTTGCTTTCCGTCCATAAAATAAATACAAAAGGGTGTGAAGTTATATTTATTACCAGCAAAGACTCAACCTAAAATTTTTTTGCAGAGCTCTGTAAAGCCATTAACAGAATTCTGTTCAGCGAAGTCTCGGAGGGATTTAACTTAAAATACAAGTAAAATAGAACTTTTCGAGAATTTTTTTGCAAATTGTTATCAATAAAACATGACTTTATGTGAATTAATTAATATTCGAAATCAAAACTTTTTTACACTATGACATAAATGAGGTTGATAAGGCGAAATTTTGCATAGCTAATGTGTCCAAACCGTGTCCTGTGAAAAAATGAAACTAATACGACATGAATGCTCTATTAATAGCCTTTCCAACGACGTGCAGGTTATATTAAGTTTTGCCCCGATAATTTTCAAAATGGTTAAAAACATTTGTGCATTCGAAAACCTAACCTTGTTCCCTTAACACTAATTTTGTTCTTTTATATACAATTTTTTAATATACTTTAACATACTTTTCTGAATAAGATATCGGCTTATTGGTTGCAATAAAGCTTTCAACGAAGATTTTTGCAATTTATTCAGGTTTTCTTTTTTTTTAATTTCATTTTCATATTGCTGAGTAATTCTTTTGTTACGGAAGCACATTGATTATGTTGGACATTCTTTTAATGGCTTATGTATTTTGTACTTTCAGAACAAGCCTTTAGTCGTTGAACCTATTGATTTTGAAGAATTTGTATCGAAAAATAAAACACTCATACAAAATGATCCGCATAGAGAATTACTTATGTATCCGAATGATGATGTCTCGGTAGGTATATAACGTGAAATATATTTAAATTTTGTTTTGTGTTGTTTTGTTTGTTTGTTTGTTTGTTTGTTTGTTCTTAATCATCGTCTTCTATGTTTGCTTTTGTGCTTAGGAAATTATTTTGCCTCGAAAACAGCGCACAAATTTTAGATCGGTCACGGAACGTTTCGATCCGCCCAATGAGGCTATCATATGTCCATTGCATGGTTCAAATGGTAACGTGCCGACTAACGGCTCAAGTTATTACAATATCAGCCAACAATCTAGTCCTCGCACCACACACCGACAGTTCAGTTTACCCGCGACAAACACATCGAATTGTAATTTACGAAACGGTGATTTATCGCGTAAGAGCTCACAAACTTCAGCGAATCTTTGTGTTATCAAGTCACCGACAAATTCCCAAGATTCTTATGAATCTGCTGTTTCCTTAATCGGCGATAACAAGTCGCAATCATCTTCTACATCCACCCTAAAATCGAGTAATTTAGCGCAACCGGAAGAAGATTACGATCTCGATAATGTCGATGATTTGCTAGAGAACCAAAGTGGGCTAATACAATCGGGATTCAAGGCAGAATGCTCCCGTTTTACCAGACAAGCATTGTATACGTACCGAGCAAGAAATCACTTAATACACTATAAATACAGTGCTTATGGAGGTTCCTGCCACGACCTGCCAAAGTATATTTAAATTGTATTTAACAAGTTATACGAGATTTTATCTTTCTATTAAATCTAGACTAAGTCCCTCCGATGTATTGCGAGAAGAAGTCTATGAAATTGATGCCGATCAAGATCGCATAGATGAGCAAATGACCAGATCGCAAGCGGATACTATAACAAAACAAGGCTATTTATTGAAAGGTCCAGATTCGATATCCGATCGCATGTTTGCCAACATAGGCAATAAATCTTTTAAAAGAAGGTTTGATTGCTAATCTTTTAAACCAGAAAATAGATATTCAATGAAGGCTCTCTAGATATTGTTATTTACGCCAAGAAGTGGATGGTACTTATATACTGGAACTGCATAAAGATGAAAAGCAAGGCGAAGCCAAAGCTACAATTGTTATGGATTTCTGCACCGAAGTCGTTCAAGTAAGATGAAAATTAAGGTTTTTTGAAAGCTTGATGTTTAGAGAAGTAATCACATCTGTTTTCTTTTACGTTCAGAATCCCAAACGTGGTCGTTTCTGTTTTGAATTGCGTATGACCGCCGGTCACAAATCTTTCACTTTGGCTGCCGAAAATGAAGAAGATTTTAAAGATTGGCTGAGTAAATTATCTTCTGTATTGCAACAAAATAAAATACAGGAAGATAAACGCAACGCTTCCTTAGAAAGAGCACTGCCTCCAACATCCAACACAATCATATTTGGTACTCTCAAGGGTCTCGAACAATCGATGAATCCGCAGTTAATAAAATATGGCCGTGAGACTGATATTTCCATTGCCCAGGCACGCCGCGAAAATCGTCGTCGCTTGTTTGCGAATTTTCAATCAACGTCCAAAGCTACGTCAATCGAGAATGTAGATCAATATCGGGAACATTTTGGTAAACGCATATTTATAGCTTGTCGTAGCTTACGCTTTCGTTTACAATGCGTCACTGATGGGACATCGGGCGGTGATCATCTCTGTCAAGTCGAACCCTATATAACTAGTCTAGCTCTGTATGATGTACGCGCAGGACGCAAACTTACAGAATCGTTTTATTTCAATATCAACGGTGAACATGTCAGAAACATGTTACCTAATACGCCAGTGCCGCCTTCTGTGGCTTTCAGTCAAATACCTAAGAAAGATCCCCACGACGACAAGACACGCCAAACCGCGAAAGCATATAATTCATTGTTTGAAAACCTTCCGAGCGAGTTATTGCGTTGTCCTGCTGATCCCTTTGTTCAGCTTAGGCATGCAATATTTCCAGTGACTGCTGTGCATCCTGATATCTTTTTAGTATTAAAAATCGAAAAAATACTACAGGGGAACATAGTGCAAGCAGCTGAACCATATTTAAAGCCGAATCGGGATCCTAAGGTTGCCCAAAAGTTGCACAAAACTGTAAAAAATTATGCCCAAAATATCGGTCATTATCGTCAACCATTTGCATGGTCAGCGCGACCGCTATTCACACTGTACAGCAATGAATTGGATACGGAAAACGACGAATTCGAATTCAGCGCTATATACAGGCAAGAGGTAAATAAGTTAAAGGATGAGGAGCTGTTGAAACTATTAGCAGAGTATAGGAAACCTGACAAGTTGAGTAAACTGACCATAATTCCGGGAAATTTGAAGTTAATCATTGAAGAAGTGGAAAATGTTCAGGGTAATAAGCAAAACGAAAATAAATTGAAGGAAGGTGAAAATGAATTAGTTTTTAAAATTATTTTGCAGGAACGTTTACGAAATCTCTGGTTCCTTTGTCCAATGTAACCTTTCCTCTTAAAATGGCCACTTTGGAAATGACTGAATTTCAAAGCAATTACAAACGTGATTGCCATCCTTTCATCAATTTTTGCAGTCACCTATTTGTGTATCCATTGAGTTTGCAGTTTGATAGCCAAAAAATCTTTTCACGAGCTCGCAATATAACAGTGATAGTAGAGCTGAGAGATTCCGATAACGAGCAATCAAAACCTTTGAAGGTAGATTTGCTTTCTTTTTGTGTGAAATCTATTTATTTTTTTTTTATTAATATCTACTACATTTTCTCAGTGCATTTACGGTCGCCCTGGTCACGATTTCTTAGTTTCACACATTGCTTGCCCTGTCTTACATCACAACACCTTTCCCACTTGGTATGAGGAGATAAAATTACGCCTTCCACTGGGCATATTTTCCGAACACCATTTACTATTCTCATTCTATCATGTCTCCTGCAACTTGGGCAAGAAACGCGATACAAATGCTTCTTTCGAGACACCTATCGGTTATGCTTGGCTGCCATTGTTGCACAAAGGCAAGATAAACTTAGACGAACAGGCGATACCTGTAGCCGCTAATTTGCCGGTTGGATATCTTAGTGTCAAACCGTTAGGTTTGGGACGAGGGGTAAGTACTTTTTGTTTTTCCTTGGATGTTTCAAATTGTCGAAGACTATCTAACAAGCTTAAGTTTGCAATTGTTAAGTAAAACGAACTTGTGTTCTAATGGATAATGTAAAAAAAGAAAAGAAAAAAAAAAAAGCACACGATCACGAGCACCCCATTGCCCCACACGTGATTTAAACACGAACCCTTCGGATTGGAGTCAGACGCGCTGCCGTTGCGCCACGAGGTCACGTAACTAAAACGTATTTAAAGTTGTATACTTTCAAAAGTTCTGAAAGTTTGAATAGCTTCCCAGTTTTATACGAAAATTGCATTATTTGTCGCTAACTGATACGATGTAATATGTTCTTATCTCTTTACTTTTAGAATGATACCGGTATCCCAAATTTTTTTAACAGAACCTCCTCTTCATGCCTTTATTAGGATTTAACTAACCTTCTTGCAACTTCCTTTTTGTTTCCTTTTACTTAACGGACATTTTGGCTACCCGCTAACTTTAAAAAATTGAACTTATTACTACTTTTTTTAACTATTTTGAATAATTCCATTTTCTCTTTGGGTTATATTCACTTATTACGGTCGGTCGATGTCAATTTTCGAACTTGGATTGGAAATTTTAAGTAATGTCACCACGTTATGTTTCAGTTTTCTCATGGCCTTCTGTTGCAGAAAGCAAATTTTCTTTTGAAAGCGAGCAATAAAGAACCATAAAAAGACAGTAGTTTAAAATACACCGTAAATCCAGGATCCATTCATTTAAAAACGAAAAAAAAAACAATTTAGAGATAAATATCAAAACTTGTGCTCTAATCAGCTAAGCAAAATAACATTTTTTTACTCGCAGTCTACAGAGGCGATGCAACCCTCATTAAAACCAAGTGTCAGTGCGATAAATTTCAGTCTTTGCTCCTTTCTTGTAAAGGAAGCAAGAGGGGAACGAACAACTAAGCTTACCGTGATTAAGACTGTCTTACGCAAATTCTGATTTTTGATTGTAAGCATCTGTTATTACGAAAACTGTGAAACCCGTAAAAAACGGAAGAAAAAACTCAAAACGTTATAGCCGAAAAAGACCATTATTAAAACCTTCATTATCTGACTATTTTGGCCATAAAATACTTAAAATTCAGCTTTACTGCCCTGTGAAGGTTTACCCTTCATAAGAATTCCTATACGGAAGAGGGCACCAAAATTAAACCTATCTGGTCGAAGGGGCACATGGAAAATATATATATCGAATATCTGTTCTAAACACGTTTTTCAAAAAAATAGTAAAAATTACACCTTCTTATCAGTAGTTTTTTTAAGAAATATTATATGGAAGTAACTTAAAAATTTGGCCTCGTCCGACGTTCCACGTTTAAAGTGCGAAAATAATATTTTCCACCAATTTTTGCAAGAAAATTATAAAAATTTGCAAACTTTTTGCATATACTGAGGGGATGTTTGAAAAAGTGAACCTATCCAATCCATTTCGAATAAGATATGCCTTTTTGCCGAAACGTGTCAGCGTATTATTAAATTTCATTAAATTATCTCGAATATTTCAAATCATAGATTGAATACAAAATATGCTTATCAGGGAGATAGGGGAAAGACGGCACATAAACCTGCTCTATATCATAAGCAATGAATAGTTGTTTCGGAAATTAGCATATTGAAAATCTTTGATGTAATTGTTAATGTATTCACTTATATGTTCGTGGTCACTAATAAAAAAAGTAGAAGGCAATGACTATAAAATTTACTAAAAGGACAACTCAGAGCGCAAAACCATTTACTTTATATTTTACTTTATATGAGTTTCGCACCGACAAAAACAATTTTATGATAATTTCGTAATAATATCGTATATTCATGTTTTTCTCATTAATTTATACAATTTTATGTTTTTCTTTTGTTTGATGTGTCCCTTGCTCTTTGATTGTTCATCACAACATAATAACACGTTACGGTCATTCTTGTACACCACTGTATACTCTCATCACATCACACATCCTTCTTAATATATTCTGTGGCTCTACAAATTCGTACCCTATTTTTAGCAGTATTGTGGACCAGACATACAATGGATCGACAATCAGCGCCCAATTTTCAGTGTAGCACTTCGGATGGATTCTACGGTTCACACTAGTGATCAACACTTGCACAATTACTTTGTGCATTCTGAGCGATTATTGGAAGGCGGTAAAACTACAGCTATGCCGGCCGAAAGTGAAACGTGTAAAATTCTTAAAGCGGTTCACGCTATTGACATAACCACATTGATTAACTACCTGCCTACTTTACTGAATGAGCTTTTCACTTTGTTAGTTCATACACAATCGGAAGAAGTAGGTTTGAACATAATCCGTTTACTCATTAATGTTATTCATATGATAACAGAAGAAGCCGGGCGAAAAGAATTACTCGCGTCTTACGTGACCTATGTCTTCCACGCTCCGTATTATAATCAGAGAACTACGCGCACAGTACACGGTGAATTGTGTCGTCACCTGCCCACTATACTGAATCCTAACAATACCGATTTCCTGGTAGTTCATAAATTTATGCGTTACTCAGAGATATTTTTCGATTTAATTATCAAGAGTATGGCACAACATCTATTAGATACGCGACGTATACGGATGCTAAGAAATGAGCGTTTTCCTAAAGAGTACCATGAACGAGTGCAAAATCTTATAAGAGTGTTAATACCGTATCTGATAGCACGTTATAAAGATTTGCCGGTGGAGACGCAGCACTTAAACAAGTCGATGTCGCAATTTGTTAAACGTTGCCTAACATTCATGGATCGTGGATTTGTGTTTAAATTGATAAGATATATTTTAGAACAATTTTCTCCGGGAGATGCTAGAACTTTACAAGAATTCAAATTCAATTTCCTGCGCGAAATATGCCAACATGAGCATTACGTTCCTTTGAATCTGCCATTTGTTCTCAATCCTAAGAACAGGCCACCAGAAATGATGCAACATTTCAATTTGACTGAAGAATTTTGCCGACAACATTTCCTCTCCGGCCTATTACTGCAAGAATTGAAAAGTAGTTTAAATGAAATTGGCCACGTAAGGCGTCACGCTTTGTCTATATATAAAAATTTATTGGCCAAACATGAGCTAGACGAACGCTATCAAAATCGGGGACAACTGTCTCGTATCGCTTTATTATATGTACCCTGGTTGGGCATAGTTATGGATAATATGCAAAGAATCGATGATCTGTCAGAGGTGACTACACCTAACGGTCATGTTTATGCTGACTCAGCTTCTTACACTCAGCGTTTGTCATGCTCAAGCAGTTATGTGTTCGCTAAAGATCAGAGTTTTAATACTGGAGCTTCAACGCCGCAATCAAAGAATCGGACTGCGTCCCACATGGAACATCCTAGTCCTTTAAGATCTTCGGTACACTTGAGAGAAAGCAATTATTTAGCTGCCATTTCCAATTCAGCAATAACTAACGGCGTTTCGGAGACTTCACTAAATTCGCTCACTTCTAACTCTCAGAATTCTCAAGATACCACTTTCGTACCCTGTACTGCGAATGGATTTGCTGAGAATAGTGAAGTGGCCTTACGCAGTGGTCATAATCGATCGATAAGCGTGACGCATGCACAAACAATGATTCGATGTGACAAGTTCTCTTCATCAGAAAGCAGGGATCTGCTTTTCGGCTTCCTGTTCGTCATTAAGCATTTATCGCATGATCAAATGATTGGTTGGTGGCAAAATTGCAACGAAACGGAAATTTTGCATTTCATGACAATTTTAGAACTATGCTTAATACAATTTCGTTACGTAGGTAAGAAAAACCTAAGTTTGCACGAAGACAGTCGAGAAATACGTTCTTTTCGTGCGGCCAAGGCAAGCACTTTACCTGCTCGCACGTCGCCGCCTAATCTAGAAAACGGGCAGACCATACACGAAACGGGTACCTTAAATTTAGCACAAAATCGCGAAAATTTACTTGACGAAGCGGCTCGCAATCAACGCGCTTTATATGAATCGAATCTGGCCACGGAAATCGGTATGATAATTTTGGATTGCTTGGGTCTCTATGCGGTGGAGTTCCGTCAAAAACTCAATGATAGTTTGATATTGCCGAAATTGGCTCGAGTTTATTTGAAGTTCCTGCAATTAGGGCAATCCGAAAGTCTATCAAAACATGTTTTCGCTGCTTTGCGGGCTTTCATCAATAACTTCTCGCCGGCCCTGTTTAAAGGCAACGCTGTATTGTGCGGCCATATGGTTTACGAATTACTAAAAGCTTGTGATAGTCGCTTGGTGCAGATAAGACATGAATCGTGCGCTGTTTTATACCTGCTCATGCGCAGTAATTTTGAATTTAGTGGACGCAAAGGTTTAACTAGAGTACACTTGCAAGTCATTATATCCGTTTCTCAAATGATAGGCAATGTTATTGGCTTGAATAATGCACGTTTCCAAGAGAGTCTCTCGTTAATTAACAGTTACGCAACCAGTGATAAGGCCATGAAAGGTACCGGTTTTCCCGTAGAAGTCAAAGATCTGACTCGCCGCGTAAGAACAGTATTAATGGCTACTGCTCAAATGCAGGCCCATCATATGGATCCTGAGCGATTGCTGGAACTTCAGTATTCCTTAGCCAATTCATATGCTTCCACTCCTGAGCTAAGGCATACATGGTTAATTACCATGGCTAGAAATCACGAACAAAATGGTAACATTTCCGAAGCTGCATGTTGCCATCTGCACATAGCTGCTTTGATGTCAGAATATTTACGTTTGAAAGGGGGATGCTCTATTAGTTGGGGTTCAACGGCTTTCACCAAAATTTCTCGCAATATACCTCGCGATGAACAGGGCTTGAAACTTGATGCTGGTTCGCAAGATTCCCAGTACACAGAACAAATGTTGTTAGAACAACTTAAACAAAGCGCGGTTTTCCTCGATAATGCCGAACGTTATGAATGCCTCGGCGAATTATATAAATTGATATTGCCCTTGCTTGAAAAGACCCGCAATTACAATGACCTGCAAGAGTCGTACGAACATCTAGCGAAAGCTTACGGTAAAATTATTGAAGTTAATCGTTCTGGAAAACGCTTGCTTGGCAGATTTTATCGCGTCGTTTTCTACGGCATGGTAAGTGACGAAGATTCCAATAAAAAGAAAATATTTGATCTCATCAATCGTTTTAGATATACTTTGAAGAGGATCATTCCATTGAATATGTCTACAAGGAACCGAAGTTAACTTCCCTAAGTGAGATCTCCGAACGTCTGGCCAAGCAATATAAGGACAAATTCGGTGCTGATGTCGTTAAACTTATTATGGATTCATCGCCGGTAAGTGCACATAAAAAGGGGGCGTATAATTATATAAATTCTAGTTATTTTGTCGATGAGAGGCACCCCAGGCTAGATCGCCAAACACACTCCCTACATATGCAGAGATAAAATTATATATGATTATTGCTCTTTTCTCAATTTAAAACGTTGTTAGCAACCCGGTATCAGGCTCGTATATAAAAGCCTTAACATCTCGCCTTTGTTTCTGTGCACTTTTTCACGCATCTGGTTTGCTGTACACTTAAGACCTTATCACAAAAAAGAATAACACCATCACCATCAATCCATAGATCCTTACTCCAGCTATCATGGGGAACATCTTACGTTGAACATTAGCAAGTTCGTTCTACTACGTCATCTCAAAAGCAGATCGCGTCGGGAAAAGTATTTCCACTTTTTAATATAGATCGCAAGGGACGATTAGCTTTTGAGTCTGTATTTCGCGCGCGTCCGCGAGGTTATGGTAATTATTACAGCAAAGGCAAAGAGTTGAAGGAAACAATTTCAAAAACGCATGTTGTAGGTACAAATCCATGGTATCTGACGGCGAACAGAATGGATATTGCGTCTCTTGTCGCGCGTTATATGTCTGTCACCTATCATATGGACAGCAACGGCACGATTTATACTTTTCCGCGACCAGGCATAGTCATACAACATTGAGCACTGTGTCACACCTGTGTTTGCAAAGCATATGATCTGCCCCTTCCAGTGTTCGAGTGAAGGAAGGAAGAAGAAGAAGAGACTACCTTCTGTAGATTTTTATAGTGGTATGAAAGTCGACAAGAGAGCTTTGTCTATGGAGAATCGGCTACCGGAGAAGTAAATGCTCTCGATTATTCGCTTTGCGCCCTGCTTCTTTTACAAATCCCCTAAATATTTAGGAGACATGTAATAAGTCTTCACTTCAGATAAAACAAGTTGTTGTGTTTTTCCTTAAGTTTTCAAACTTAATTTATTATTAAGTAAAACAAGTTTTGTTTGTGTGTGGACTGGTGGTTCCCCATTTTACATAAAATATCGTTTTTTACAACATTTTTTTAACATCAAAATAAAAGTTATTCGTCACGACAACGACTTAAATTTATAATGTTAAGCAATAATAACGAAAATTTTTGTACGCGAACAAAGATGCTTAACATTTTCTTTAACAATAATTTCCAAAAATCACTAATATATTCAAAATGGGATTTCGTTATGTTCAACTCTACGCGAAAATTCAAGAAAAAAAAAAAAACAAAAAAAAGAAAATTTTGAAATCTATTCAACAATGCCGGAAATTTAAAAATTTTGCGAAATCCACAGAAGACAAAGATTAAAATGAGTTTAAGTTAATTTACTTTTGAAGTGTCCGTTTTACGGAGCGTTGATGGCACGGCACTGCGTGCTGATTTTAGACTAGAATCCTTCGATTTGAATGATGAGGGCGTTGAAGCAGCAATAGACGTCTTTTCCGGGTTCTTAGCCAAAGAACTATTTATTGTTTTGCCAGGAGCGGAGCTCTGTGAAGGGGCTCTAAAGAGGGATATAGTGTATGTAGCGTTCTTATAAAATAAAATAAAAAAAATTTTACCTGGATGTTAGCGCTCCGCTTCTGTCTTTCGAAATTGTTGTGGGTGATATTTTTGTGCTAGTAATGGAACCCTCCTTTTTTACACATTCTGCATTCGATTTGGTGTTAACACTGGGACGACTTTTCAAAGAATTTCTAACAGGGGCGTTATTTGCGGCGGCTGGCGCAACTGCTGACTTCGTATCTGCTGAGGTAGTTTTAGTTTTAGTTTGTGCCATTGTACGGTTTCGATCTTTATTTATTGCGCCCAGTGTGCTTTCTTTAGAGGTATTAGGTCTTTCCGGGATTGAAGCTTTCTTCAGACCTACAATACCGGTCGATTTTATTGCTGCCGTTCCTATTGCATTCGGTTTAGTGGCTTTTGGTTTTTTTAAATTATCAACAATGAGATTTTTGCGCTTGTCTGCCAATAAATTAGCATTGCGACTATAAACGTCGGCGGTTGGACTGGCTGGTGGGGCCACGCCATCTAAAATTTCCTTAGTTATAGTGGGCTTAATATTTGTTTGGCTTTTGCTCAAGTGATTAATTTGAATCTGTAAATTGGTGTCGCTTTCGTTTTTATGACTGTGATCGCCTACGTCTTCTACCCTCTCTTTTAGCAAAGATTGTGCCACGTCACTCTCTACATCTATACTGTTTGGTGTAGAGCGATCTGATCCATCTTCTACTGCTGTAAAGGAAGACTTCTTCTCATTATTTTCTGGCACATTGTTCACTTCAAATCTAGGTAACTCCATATTTGGACACTTCATTAAAGTGACTTCTTTGATATTATTTTGGGCTTCGCTTGCTTTGGCGGAGGGAAAATTAACTTCCTTAGAATCTTTCAAACTTCTTAATTTGGATTTGGTGGCGGCGCTGCTCCTCGACAAATGAAGTTTTTCCTTTACACTAACTTCACTCTTACAGTTTTTTTCTTCTTTCCTTTCACTTTGCTTAATACTGCCACCTTTAGAATCTTTTATTTTTTTGTCTGCTACCGGTAAATCACTTTTGATTTCGTCGGCGACTATTATTTCGACAACTTGTGAAAACCCAAGAGAGCTTTCTATGGTCTCGGCATTACAAGAATTTTCATCCAAAGTTTCAAGTACAATGTTTTCGACTCTGGCTTTACCCATTTTTGGCGCAGATATTTCTTTATATTCCTTTATTATAATTTCTACATCTTTCTCTGAAGTATTGTTATCTTCGAATTTGTTATCATCCTTTCCTCCCTCCAATTCTTCTTTTATTGCATTATATAACTCTTCATCGGACTTCAAACGCTCTCGTTTTATATATGACGGATAGAATTCCTTAGCATTCGGATTTAAGTTTGATTTTATTTTTATACCATTCGCTGTTACAACAATGCGGTGAGGATTAATCGATTTATTATATATGAGCGCTGGTTCATCTGTTTTCATGGGTCCGACGACATCGTCGGTAAGGGCACAGGTCATTTCTTGTAATTGATGGCCAGACATATTTGTCGAGCTGGCTTGGTTGGTTGGTCGGTTTTTATTGGTGAAATAAAAAGATTTTTGCAAAATATGTTTTTGTGGTTTGGTCCACAATAATCTTGTGCGAGCGAAATCCAAACCGATTCAAATTCAATTAATTTTTGACAAACTATTTACAACCAAAAAAAATGACAAAATGTTTTTTTGTGATTATATTTATTATTGTAGTGATAGATAATGAAAAGTAGAATGTGAAAATTTAAGTTTGAATAATTAAAGAAATTTTCACAAATACAATCTTCGCAGCAAAATGAAATGTCAAACAACCGTGTGCTTAGTGCCCAGAATGTTCATTGGGAAATTTCTAATATTTTCAAGCATTTAATGTGTCTTGTTTTATTCTGCCTTTTTTAAAGGTTGACGTACAAGAACTGGACGCGAAACTGGCCTACATTCAAGTAACACATGTGGTACCGTTTTTCTCTAAAGAGGAACTTGATCAGCGTTTAAACGAATTTGAACAGAATCACGATGTTGACACGTTCATGTATGAGACTCCGTTCACAAAATCAGGTTCTGCCAGAGGCACTGTCGAAGAGCAATGGAAACGAAAAACTGTTATTAAAAGTAAGTATCAATGAATGCCTAACTGAAATTGAGCTTTTCAATTGGGTCTGTCCTTGTAGGCAGAACACTAACCATTGCTAAGGACCAAGATCTCATCTTTTAACGAGAAGTTGTGCTAAGTTGAACTAATATGTTTTTCTTTTAAAGCTTCTTACTCATTTCCTTACGTATTGAAACGTATACCGGTAAAATCACGTGAAATTATCGAACTGAGTCCTATTGAAGTCGCCATAGATGAAATGCAAACTAAAGTTTCCGAACTGGAAGAAGTCATCCTTCCGCCAGCAGATGTTAAAAAATTGCAATTGCGTTTGCAGGGAAGCGTGGCTGTTACAGTAAACGCCGGTCCTTTGGCCTACGCTCAAGCATTCCTGGATCCCAAGGTGGTTAATAACTTTTCAACAGATCGCGTAGAGGATCTTAAAGATGTATTTAGGTTCGTTGAGAGTAACACTCTATACATATCGATTGTAAATAAATATTTCATTACATCTTGCAGAGATTTTATTGGAGTTTGTCATACTGCCTTGCAATTAAATTCGCGTATGATTAGCTCAGATCAGAAGGAGTACCATAACGTTTTAAAGGAAAATTATCAAAGAATGTGTCAGGCTTTAAGTGATCTGTTAGAAGAACCTTTTCAGCCATTAGACGACATTGGGAATAACTCGACAACACAACGCAATAGTATGGCTTTGTTTAATGCCATTAGCGGAGCTTCAAATCATTCAAGTACTGCCTAAAAACACGTTATCAAAAAATGATGTAAAATCTAAATAGATTTAGTTTTCTACATGTGTATGGGTGTATGTTTATATTTCTGTGCGTGATTTAACTAATACTCACATAATCGGTTTAAGCAATTTATCTAAAATTCACAAATCCGACTAAATCATATTAATTGCAAAATTTCTAAGTTAACGGTATATTGGTACTTAACGGGATTGTATTTTAAAAAAATTGTATTTTTTGGCTTTTTTTTTAAATTATTATTTGATTAATATATTTTTTAAATAATCTGTTTTCTCATCCAATTTAATAAATTTTTGTTTTGTTTTTTAATTATAGGTTTTGTTTCTGCTGCTTATTAGAGTACACGGTATATCACGAATAATCTTGACAGTTCTAACTATATAACTCTTCTTATAAACACACCAAAAATTTGAGAATGTTCTCCCAAAAACAACAATCGCACCTGCTTTTTACAACAATAAGACCCATAACATAAACAAGACTCAGATGTTTTTCCGGGTTTTCAGTGTTTATG